ATTATTTGTTAGGAATAACAATTATACAAAGCTTCCCTGGTTTGATCGGTAAACCCCTCAATATCATTACTGAATTCAATTCGTAAAACAGAGTTTTAAGATCTGTAAACTTTTTGAATCAGCAGAAGCTATTGTTAGAAGTTTGGTTAGAGTTCATATCCGCTCGACTTACTAAGCCGTGGAAGAAGTTTTATAGTGAATGTTGCTTTCGCCCCTGGGAATTGCTCAAGATGTCTTCAGATGACGTTCCCTCTATTCTTTTCACTAATTTCACCAGTCCCAGGAAAGTTTCCTCTGCCAAGAAGGAAGTGTCACCTCCCACAACTTTGGAGTTTACCAAAATGGGGTTGACGGAGTACGTTTTTACTTATTGAAAGTATATATTTGATCGGATCGAATCTGGAAGTTGGTATAATCGTGTTGCTTTGAACTGTTTTTAGAATTGGCAGTAAAAGCAAAGGTACGTTGCACCAAAAATTGACCTCATTGTCATTTGAAATCATTTTGAAAACGTTTTTTTTTTTGTCGAAAATAGGCTTGTCAATCGTTTTGCAACTAGAATCGAGTCGACTTGTGCCGTCTTTTTTAAAAATGTTTTCGATATTTAAGAGAAAAGTAAATACAGTTATAATTACTTTTTAGAGCCTGCTGCTATTTGATATTTTTGGTCCATTTAAAACTTTACTACTTCCGATCCACTTTGCTGTTAACATAGCTGATGAAGGGATGAATTTTTAAAAAATAAACTCCAAAAAAAATTTCTTATGCATTTTTTTTTGAAATTTTATCATTATTTTTTAAAAAACGGGCACTCTTCCATTGTCTCAAACATGCAGTCGGCTACCCATGAATGACTGAAAGCATTGTTTTCTATCTTACATGACCATGACAGATCGTGTTCCTCTGATTAAAAGCACATATTCTCTACATCAAGCATTGGGAATAAATTAATCCCTTTAATCAAATTCTCTTCCTGCTCCAGTAATTGATTTTGACCAAGGCTCGGGCCCAAAGTAGATAAGAGAACGCGAGAAGGGGATTTCGGGCAAATTGAGTTTGGCTTTAGGGCCTAATCTTCACTATGAGTTTGCCAATTATTTCCACAAGTCAATGGAAAGAAGGGCGATTTGAGTGTTGGAAATTTCCGGAACCTTGTAGACAGCCAATTTAACAGACCAAAATTTTTGGTACTTTTTCTACAGTTACTATAAGTAACTACCTGGCTGGTCAAAATAAGAGAATTTAGAAAGTCGATACAAAATTATTTAGAAAATTGGCGGTATTCTGTTTCAAATTATGATATTGACTATATCGTTGAACTAGCTAGTTATTAATTACCAATATTTAAGGTAAAAAAAGCATCCGGCGAAAAGTTAATTTGGCTGATGAGAAATATAACCAACATATTTTACTGCGATCTTGTTTGGTTGAAATCTGCTCTCCTATTTTATGTACGTGTAGTTAGTTACGTAAATTCACGGGCATAGAAAATTCCCTTAAAAATGTCACAAATTGCCATCAAATTCCTTTGAGCAGTAAAAGGAATTGTTACTGTGCGCAGAAGTGCGTGACGTATAATATCGTTAAAGCCACGTAACGGAGGGTCTATGTACATAGTAATAGAAGCAAGGAGGTTAGACCAATGAATAAATACGATGCACGCCTTGTGGGATTGAAAACAACTCACAATCCTTGCCCTTATTTTCAAACAGATATATTAGCCCAGCGCCGGTTTTTATGTTGAAGTAAAAACTCATACTTTTTCACCTGGTTAACTGTTATTTGATATTCAAACTCCGATGATTTTTAACTCAATATTTCCTATTGGTAATCTGATTTTCCATATCATATGAAATACCTTGGTGCATCATTTTTTTGTTCCTCTGAGAAGTCACGTGATTTTGATACAGTAAAAGGGTTTAGTGTTTATGCCATGCTGATACTACACAGTTTTAAAAATCATAAATAAATCCCCAGCTTGCTATTGATTGATTACGAACGCGCCAGTATTTGAAGTATTTATTGCTGATTTTATCCCCTTTTTTCTGTGTTCTGTTCCTACAAATTAGGCTATAAGTAAGTGCACCTTGGCTTATAATCCGCCGCTATATTGCATTCACTATTTTGGTGAAATATTTTACTTCGGGCTTCTCTTTTCTTTAAGTCCTTAGGATAAATTCTTGGAATTTACAGACTGTAAATATTGGGAAAACCTGATCTTATACCAGAATTCATTCACGCTTCTTCTAGAACGATTCAGATAGGACGAATCAATTTTGTCCGCATTTCAATGAGACTGCGAAGGCAAAACTCCATAACTTATTTTCAGTAAAACTGTTCATGTTAATTTACCCATGAAGTTGGCCTATGCTGTTTATTTTATTTGAGTTATCTGAACTGTCGGTCTTAGAAGTTGGTTACATTTAGCCAGTCTGTGTTTTTCAGTATATTAACCAGAAACTGAAACAACATTCCCAAAATTTTTGCACTGAGTTTATAAAAAAAGTTCCAAAATTTGGCGATCATGTTTCAGGATTAATAATACTTGAGTGACGGACGACGCATTATTGATTTCAAATTGTAGTTGATTTTCATATCAGATTCTATCGATAGTCAATTATAATTGAGCTTCACTTGTTTCATAACTTGCACTTAAAAATTCATTTTGCAGACTGAGTTCGCTGGTCAAATAATAAAAAAGACCAAGTGTTCATAATATCAACTTCTTAACTCCCCTGAAGCTGGTCATATTTTGTTCTACTCCTACTTTTCATTGTTTTTATAACCTTTAATTTCCTTTTATGGCGTCTCTAGGTGCACAAAAATTGGCTTAAGCTCTATAAAAATTACGTTTTTTTTTTCAAATTATCTTTTTGTCTGGATTTTTTGGATATTGGCTCATTGATTTCCCTCATTTATGAATTCCGTCCTTCATTTATATATGTCAAGATTTTTGTGACTGCTTGTTTATTTATAACAGATTTTTTTGGTATGTTTCCATAACTGGACGCTTTCCATCATTGGATTGTGATTTGAACCAGCGGTGCAATTCCAACTAGTTTCACTTTGCCATTTGTCAAAAAGCAAACGTCTAAATCTCTTGACTTGTCGGATATTGCAAGTGTATTAGAAGTTATTGCTGTTTGCAGCGACGACGAGTATATAATATCAGCAAAAATGCTTGCACAAAAAATCGTTTCCAATTTATTGTCCAAATTACTGCGATTCAATATAAGCTTAATAAATACGTCATCTCTTTCATTTTAAACTGTGATCATCTCTAAAATTGAGAGCGATGAAATTGTCCTTACTCCAAATTAGTTCCAAGTCCTTTATCAAAATACTTTGATGAATTCTCGTCCCTCTAAAATCAAAAGCGACAAGAGTGTCGATAATTCCGGCTGCGTCCCTCCCCCAAGTGTACTTTTTCCATCACACTCTCATCCTGCCTCTCATTCCACAAAACAGGAACTGGAACCCCCGACAAAGGGGCTGAGGAGCAACACCAGTTCAAACAGCCTAAGTCTCTCAGGACACAAAGTGACTCATGGTGATTTCGTTGACGGTAGAAAGGCAGGAAGCTTCGGCAATCTTATACCCACCAGCAGAACGCCAGAGATGTTGTATAAAAAGACATTTGGAGGTAAACTCACGAGTGTGTTTTTACTTGGCTAAGTCGATGATCTTCAATGTATTTGAGCGTGCTAATATTTTTCGTCTATTTCTCAGTGTCAGCCCTGTTTGTGTGCGGTGTATGAATAGCTGAAATCCGACGACGCCTTTTCGCTAAGTTTCGCTCAATCGTTTAATACCGTTGTCCAACGTGAAGAGTTATCATCAGGGGCGCATTTAGGGGGGTGTGTCCGCCCCCCCCCCCTCAGGGATTCGACCACCTGCCGACCCAAAGGGTTCCCTATGTACTATTTAGAGATATCCATTTTTGGCTGACGGACCCTTCGGCGCCAATTAATACTAATTTTGAAGGGGAGCGCGCGTCAAAACACGCGATTTTTGGTCTAAATTTTCAAAAAAAGCCTTAAAACGCTTTTTTTGGCCTGTTTTTTCAAAATTTTGCCTGCGGCGCAAACAGTTTGGCCAAAACAGGGTGTTTTTACTGATTTGGAAGAGCTCTGAAAACCATTTGATCGACCTAAAAAAAACCGACTAAATTTTCGAAATTTTTTTGAAAATCCGCCCCCCCCCCCCTCGAGAAAATCCTAAATCCGCCCCTGGTTATCATAATATATACAGAATACGGTCCCTCTCAGATACTATTGTAGTTTTTCATTGTGTCCCTGCAGAAATAATGAACCAACAAAGTACAAATCTTTCTAGGGTTTGATTCCATTTACAGGGCATCTAACATTTAAATAAATCAAATGACCAAGAATAGTTCATTTCATTTTCTTGACCCTATTGATGTGTGTTTATCATCTTCATTTATACCTTATTTGAGCATCATCTGAATCGCAACATTTGATGCTTAATATTTGATCTGCTATTTAAGTTGACTGAATTTGACATCTCTAAGCTGATAAATTAAAACTTGCTCAATGAAATATAAGTTGACCCAGTGGTCAAACATGCAATCTCTGTCAAGCAAGATAGAAGTCAGCTTGTAATTTCCCTGGCGCTCAATTTGAGACAAGCAGCTTGCCATTTGTAAAAGAGCAAGCATTACAAATATGGACTCGCACAGCGTTTGAGAACTGCAGCACAAAAGCTGAATGGTAAAAGCTTAAACAAAAGCTTTGTTTCACTTCTTTTCGATGATAAATATCCACTGCTTCGAAAATATCAAATACGTAAAGATTCGAACTTTTTTTTTGGAATTTCATGTTTTCAGAGCCTTTTGTTGCCTGTTGAAAGTATGAGCATGAATGGGGCTAAAACTGTTTGTAGCTTACCAAAGTCAAAGTTCAATTTGAAAGATCAAAAAGAATTTACCGCGTAAGTATCGTAAAAAAAATAGTTGTGCTTAGAATCTTCTCTGTTTTCAGGAAAAATCAAACAACTCTTTTCCAACTCCGGAGGTGGAGACAAATCGAGTGCCAATTCATCCAAGACCAACTCACTCACTAGAACCAACAGCACCCAACCCCCACCCGCCAAAAAGGGAGACCAAAAGAGGCGGAAGAAGGTGGACGGGGGTTCAGGTGCAGGGGCAGGGGGAGGGGACAAAGGAGGAAATGAGATTGTGGGGGATTTGTGGAGTGGAAACGATAAGGAGGGCGAAGACGATGATGGGATCTCGGAGGGGGAGGACTCCGACGAACAGTCAGGTGGGAGAATATAGTCATTACCCCTGGAATTGACTCTTTATCGGATAGTTGAAGATACTGTCTGTTGATTTTTAAATGAGTTAAGTAAAAGAGAGATATGGGTATAACGTATAAGCATTAATGTTAGAGTTAGCGACGCACAGTCAAAGTCATCACATGAAATTTTAATCACGCAACAATTACTGGAGCCTTTTTCTATCAATTTCGCTGTCTAGTAAAACAGCCAAATTCAAGATCTGTGATGACTTTGGGATGATCTTTGTCACTTATGGTTCCGACTGAGAGTTGACTACAATTAAAGGTTTGAAAAAGAAAAAAAACATGTTTTATCGTTAAGGAAACTTTTTTCAATAATTGAAACCTTTATTTACGGTAATCACTTCAAAATTTAAGATTTTGATTAAATGGATAGAATTTCGTTTCTTAATTTCCCAGCTCGAAGGCAGCTCAAAGTTAGCGTTTTTCAGATGCATCAGTGGGCGAATCAGAAGAGGATTCGGAGTGGCTTGAGAGTCACTCTGACTATGGGCGAAGTGGGTCCCTGCAGCGCAGTTCAACCGCTGCGGGAAGGGGGGACAGGCGGCGTATAATGCAGGCGGGTGGGAAGGCTGTGGCCAAATCGAAGAAGCTGCCCAAGCAGATCAAAAAGGCATTTCTGTAAGTACAGTAGTCAGGCTAAGCGCAGCAGAGCTGTGGGATTTTTCATTTTAATGAGCGTGTTGGTGAAATGACTCCAACGCACAGTCGACAAATCGGAGGGCCATTAAAATCCGTTCTCGTTGCCTCTGAGCAACGCAAAATTTCTCAGCCCAGAAAAAAAACCAAAAATTTGGTTATGTAAATCTTAACCAGGCGAACAACGAACGTGGTGAGCTGAATAGCTCATATACTGGTTCTTTATCTAGTCGATAGATTGTTTTTGGATAATGGAATGTTGATCGCTATAAGTTGTCTGAAAGCAGTAGTTTAGCGGAAAATCAGTAGCAAATCTACCGTTGCGTTTCCACATATTATGATGGTAATTAGATATAGCGCTTAGTTTCATTAATGAAGCTTGTTTTGTAGCTTGCCGTGACAAGCATTGAACTGCTCTATACTTTTTTATGTATAGATTAAATTTTGATAAACTGACAGAAAACTTAGACAACTATTTTTATCAAGGATTGTCACTGTTGAGTCTACAATGTACCCAGATGTTAAATTTTTTGCCATCGAACGTTTTGATGAATTTCGCGTACTGCTTCAACGAGTTTCACCTAAGCTTGATCCTCCCCAAAGGGAGCCCTTTCAGTCGTGATTCTGATTCAAAGAAACATGTCTCAAACACCAGAAAGAGTTTCTCAAAAATTCGAAAAAAAAAATTTAAATTTTTTTCAAATTAAATGTGGTCACAACATTTAGTGGAGTTTGCACTGAAACAGCTATCCTTATTTTCAATTTATAATGATAGGCTGATTGAACCGTACAGGTAAAAAAAATCTCTCAGTTCGTTAGATTTTTGAGTTTCTCAGTTCTGGATAATGATTTCAGATCCCCTCTCAGTGCTGCCAATAGGTGCGTGTCAATTTGCAATCATCTTTAATTTTCACTCATCTTTCTTACTGTGTGTGGAAAGCATACTAATGCAAATCATCTGAATAAGTTCTGAAATAGATATAAACTCAATGTTAAAGCTATCTCAAGATTGCTTAGATTTAAACCAGGTGTTTTATTTTACTAGGTGTGACTGTCACTGTAGCTTACATTATAACTACTCACTAGATTTCCAAGCTTAGTTCCAACCTTCAATTTTGACAGAAAACACTTTGGATTTACGTGTATTTTTTTTCTCACAAAATCAGGTACCATAGATGAATGTCAGACTTACTAGATTCGATTACTAGAAATTTAGAAAGACGGTGGTGGTATTCTGATAAAAGACTTAAAAATCATTCGAACTCTGTAAATTGATCAAAATAAACCTTCAAAAATGTAGTTTTTCTAACTAGTCACAAGCAAACGCTTTAGTTATATTACGGTTTCACTTTTTCCGACCTAGGTCTGTGTCCTCATTTTGTGTTCAAGTTCTTTGTTCACTTTTATTGTTCCGTCGATTCTGTATTTTGTATTTGGGTGGGTTTTAGTTTTTAAGGGTAACTGAACGTAGTAAAGACTCTTATATACTACGTCTTGGTGATTTTTTTGTTTGTTTTTTTAAGGAAAAAGTCCTAAAATGCTCTTATATGCTCATATAGCTACTGATGTGCATTCATAATTGTTCATGCATTTATGGAAAAACTGACAAATATATGCAAATTCATTTGCTATTAGTTCAGCAAATTGCGCTCTCCAAATACGAATTTGGAAATAGGGCGAAAAAGTGAGCGACTTCTAGCTTCGAAAGTGGATCTTACGTTTTAGATTTCCCAGTGGAATCAAAACTTTACTTATTGATCTCGTTAAGTTAAACTTTACTTATTAAGTTTTCTCGAACTGAGTTAGTTTTATCAAAAAAAATGTCAATCATAAATTAGACTTGAAATTCGAAGAGCGTATAGGCCACATTTTTTTACTTAGCAACTCGAACGTTGAAATTTTATTGTCTCTTTTCCACTTGTCTATGACTATGTTTATAGAAGAAGAACTTTTCTCGGAAATAGTTCTTGATTGTCCAATTTTTGAAAATGATTTGGGCGCTTTGTTGGTTCGTTTTATCAAGTGCCTTTTTGGAATCATCGGAACCATAGTTCCAGGCAAAGATCGTAAATTTTTTGTCAGTATGTTTTAGCTCGCACGAAGACAAAATTAGCCGGAAATAAGATGACGCAAAAACATTCTTTATTCCGAGCACTGAGAGCAAAGAGAAACTTTGTCTACCGGCGTTCTTCAGTTTTTTTACAAAAGAATAAATTTCCCGCGAAATCAGGAAAAACGCATAGTCATCGGAGTTGTTCGAGTGATATATCATATGACATTAACTTTCATAAGTTTGTCCCAGTATTGATAAAACCGGCTTGATTTTAAATAATTTTGATCTATAGTTTGAAATGTGTATCAAACTATATTAATTTTCAGACAGTCGTGTGTTTAACGGCAGTCGTATATCACGCGACCATATTTTTCAGAAAGATGTCCCAGTATTGATAAAAACCAGTTTGAAATGTTTGAATTATAGTTTTGAGCTATAGTTTGAAATAGCTATAGTTTGAAATTTTTGAGTCTAGTTATGAGCGAGTATGTTACGTCCTCGTTCGCTTTACTTGCTCGAAAATAGACCACAATTTTTCATTAAAGTAGTGAGAAATTTACTACGGGAAAACTAGTTTTGAAAGTGTCATTTAAGGCTTCCTTAGCAATTCAAAAATTTTTTAAAAAATATTATGCAAATAACCATAAAATTTGTTTGTTGAATTTTTCGAATAGAACAGTTGTAGCTGATATCTTCTTCAATAACGTTCTACGCTTTCTTTTATTACACTTGATTAAACGACGCTAGTTTGAAAAAAAAAACTTTTTTTTTTTGTGGTTTGTTTATATGGTCGGAAGGTTGTGCTACTTGCACAGCCACTGGCTATCCTTGTAACAGTATTTGCAAATAATCCAACGCTCAATCAAAATCGTTACCCATGATTTTGATGCCGACTATTCTAGTTTTCTAGTCGTCAGTTCCAAAAATAAAAACTGCTGTTTTTTTTTGCCTTTGCGAAGTGCAACTTTACCTCTTTTTGTATATCACGAAGACCTATTGTTCAGTCAGAGCAAAGTGAACAACACTGGTTGTATCCGAGCAAAGTCATAATTTTCTGATTGTCAGTAAAGGAATCTAAAATAAATCTTAATTAAAAAAAGAAGAGTTTCAAAAAATATAAAAGTATATTTATTTTGCCAAATTTCCAGCACACGCAACTTCAATTACAAAACCTTATTTTCCTCATCTATTAACCTGTTATTTACACTAGCAAGATTGCGAGCGTAGTGTATTAGTACGAAGCTGCTTTTTTCCAACCTAACTCGAAAATTGTTCATTGAAAGTGTTCACTTAATTGGTGACACTTTTGCTATAATCACGATCTGTAGCATTGGAAATTTCATAGAATCTGTTCTCCGTTTTATTTGTGGCTTGTGTTTGTGAGTTATTAAGCGTCCGTGGCTGAGTGGTTAGTGTACATATTCAAAAATGAGTTAGGTTTAAATTGATTTTGTTAGTTGAAGTTTGAGATTAAAATTTTACCGAAAAGTAAAGTTTAGTTTTCGTATAAACAAGCAGTGGAAGTTATTGAGGTTTTAGTAGTATATCAGTATCTCTATTGGCTTTAAGCAAATAGTTTACCCCTGACTTTAAGCAAAATGTTTACTTCTATACTTGGCTAAAATTTCGAAAATCTGATCGATTGATCGAATCAGAGATGCAACTGATCGAATCCAGATATTAAAATTATAATAGAGGTTTCCTCGCAATAACTGATCACACTAATAAAATCAGCCGTCTCATCAATTGATAAACTTTTAACTGATTGATAAAAGCTATTTGCACTTTTCTCTTGAGCAGTTTTTGTGTGACCCCAATTTTCACGATAACTTTCACATTAGAACATTAACTGCACATAGTCGAATTTTTATGATTCGTGTTTCGATAATTCAATTTCCTAATATAAAGTGATTTTTTTTTATTTCAAACAGGAATCTGCGTCCTTCTTTATCAAGCAGTTCTCTGGGATACAATGACCAAAACCAACCACAACAGACTACCCCAGTTATTACGTCATCTCACACACCTCAAATAACGATAGGCAGTGGTGATGAATTGAGTAGTGAAAGGGGGAAGAGAAGACCGAATGCAACAAATGCGAAGAGTGGGGCTGCTAATGGGGAGGGAGGGGGAACGTCTATCGCAGGGAGGAGAACATCATTGGCTCTATCAGATACCCCATTGGTAAGATTGATTTAACTGTCAATGGACAAACGGAAGACTTCTCTTAGTTCAATTGAATATCAATTTTTAAAAAAATTCAGTTCCAAAATGTCCCCACCCCCACCCCACCCCCAGGGGGGTTACCGTTGCTACTCAAGTATGTTTTCGATGTTTCAGGTGGAATCGTTTTGAAACTATCCTTGTGTAAATACAATGAAGCTTAAGTTTTGTTCTTTCTTTTTTAGAAAGTAAGTAAATGCTGTGATTGGGTGATTAGTCATATATCTGTACGTTGAAGGGCACCTGTATGTTAACGTTGCCTGGCAATTTGATTTCCATTCCTTGCACTCAAATTTGAAATTTGTTATGTTTTTGTTCAGGCATCCTTTGACAAAGATAGCATTTAATGTTTTGTTTTAGTTTAATTTTCTAGTACAATTGTTCATTCTTGGTAAAATAGTTCGTTCATACCCATGTTTCTCCTTTCGAGATATTTTGAATGAAGCATATTTTCTTATAATTATGAACAACCGCCTAGCCACATTTGTTTGATGATGGAATTCAGTTGCGGTTTGTTTCTTTCTTCGTAACCTTGAACAATTGTTTCAAGTATTTCTAGTCTATTTCTAAGTTTTACAACAAGTTTTACAACATAGCAGCGAAGCTTCATCATTTTGTGAGTATTCCGTGAAGTTGTTGAGGAAAACGGAATTTATCACAAAATTTAAGGAAGTGTTAAATTGATGAGTGGAACCTCGGTAAATTTGGATCACTTGATAAAATTTATTAGTTGGTATGGCAAATTCGATCAAAAGGCACTGGAGTTTACTCAAGAAGCAGCGACGTGGTTCCATTTTGAGTTCAAGTCTATGGTTTGCCAGTGAATCAGATTCAATTCAACAAGTGAGGCATTTTGGACTTTTAATGGATCTTGTGTGTGTCAAGTATTTTTGAATGTTTCTTGTTTTCTGTGGTTTTGATGACATTTGTTCTTGAATCAGCTATTTACGCTTTGTTTCTTGAAACAACTTTATACGTGATCTGAGGTATATACGTTGAAGATTATAGCGATTTAATCCTTCCCTCCCCCTCCTTCCATCACCCTCCAGGAATTCGCCTTCTGGCGACCCGAAGCATAAAAATCTATATTATAAACAAGGATAACCGGTTACTGTGAAGTTGTTTATGGCAAATTCACAGAATCTCCGACCATAGTCTTAACAAAAATGCAACATTGTTTTTCAAATTAGTGTCGTTTTTTTTCTGTGTGGTGTATTAAACGATCTGAACGAAACAAAATGTCATATTCATAGAATACAGTCACAGTCGAATAGACCAATTCAGGGGCGGATCGAGGATTTTCTCGAGGGAGGGGGGGGGGGGGTTGGCGAATTTTCAAAAAATTTGACAAACACTTTTGTGTCGTTCGAATCACGACTGAAAGGGCTTGAATACGATATAGAACTTGACCCATACCGTTGATTTTTTGTGGCACCTGATTCTGTGGAAAACAATAAAAAAGAAAGCACTCGAATAAAAAAATAAAACACACTCGTATACAAAGTTCTCAGCATTTTTCAAATAATCGGAATAACAAGGATAGCCGGTTGCTATACAAGTAACACAGATTATTATGACCACATTCATTAAAAAATTACATGAAGTTTGATCTTTTATTCTTCACATTAATGTCGTTTTTAGTGATGTAAATTATGCATCAAACTTTTAGGCGTTTTATAGTTCTCTAATTACAAATTTTTGTTTTCAAAAATGAAAACAAAAATCCTTCTTCGCTTAAAAGTCTAAATAAAAGTTAAATTTTCATTGAACCAATGTTACTCGATCGGTTTAGACGCTCGAAATTGAACTAAAACTGAACTAAAACTGAACTAAAACTGAACTAAAACCGAAATTGAACTAAAATTGAACTACAACTGAAAAGGCTTTTATCTGATATATTACCTGACCCATTCCGATGATTATTTGTGGTTTCTGCTTTTGCATGGTAAAGAAAAAACCAAACCACATCCGATTACAAGGTGTCTCCCATTTTCAACGGTCGGAACAATTAGGTTCTCGTTTGACTTTTTTGGAGCCCGTAAAAATATATGGGTTTTCTTTTTTTAAAAATGAAAATCCGAACCCTCTAGTACCAGTTGTCAGAATTACATGATCAGCCCCTGGATAGAGACGCGTCCATTCCTGAAATGCGTGCCTCTAAATAAACTTGTAAAACCTCTCGAAAACACAAAAAAAAACAAAAAGTCGAAAACCGTTAAGCTGCCATGAGGTAATTTTTATGCTGTCATAGCTTTTTTTCTTTTTAGATTACTTCAAGTGTAGGCGTCTATGAGAGCGGCCTTGCCTCGAGTGCAAGAGGCGACACCTCATCCTCCTCTCACAGGGCTCTCAATGTGACAAAGTCAGCAGGGGGGTCAGTGGTGTCGGAGAAGGACAAGCAGGTGTCCGCGATTGAGAAACTGTTCCTGAAGACACTCAAAGAGGTCAACCAGGTCCAGAAGAAGAAAGAAGGTCGGCTTGAGTTCTAACTAAACCAAGTTACAAATTGCTGCCACAATAGCAGAAACCGTGGTTTTTTTTCAAGATGCCGATTAAATTTGATTGGTTTTTTTGCCCGCAACCAGTCAAAACAGCTTTTGCTTTGGTTGGGTTATCAAAGACATCAATCATCCCAGAATCTCTTGTATGACCTTTGTTGTTCTTTCTATGGTTTTTCAGAAGATGAAATCAAATCGGGGTGATCAAGTATTTATCAGCTATTCTGCGGTAATTTATTCTGAAAAACATCCGAAAATTTTGTCGACCTTTTTTTAGGTCCAAATTGATTTTCCAAGCTCTCCTAAATCACAATAGAAACCATCCTATTTGCCATTTTTTCTGCTCCACAAAAAACAGGCAATAAACACGTTTTTAGCTACTTTTTGAAAGGTTTTGACGCTGTTCCTTTAAATTAGTATATATTGGCGCCTTCAGAAAAGTTTTGGGGTTAGTCAGCAAGAAAGGATGTCATAATATAGTTCTATAGGGGATATTCTTTGCGTGGTCAGGAGGTCGAATTCCCGAGGGTGGGAGAGGGAAGGATTTGTCCTAGCAATAACGACTATGCCTAGGACGGCAAAGTCGTAGGTTCGAATCTAGGCAGGATCTCTCCTCCTCCTTTTTTGCGAATCGAAATTTTTCAAATTCAAAAAGTGTCGTCCTTTGGTTTGTCTAATTACAGTCGGCCTATCTGTGTTGTCGTCTTTAGTTTAGCTGCCACATTTTCTTGTGTTTCAAGTCTTTTTGATGGTTGCTATGCCCCTAAATCCGCTACTGAACAAGCTTATACCTTCTACGATCGAACTTTAAGATTGAAATTGCGGAAAACCTAACCCATTGTTACCTCCAATATCGCGAAATAGTCGCAACAAAAGAAATGACTTGTTCGTTTATCTGTAATAGATCTGGAGCTGAAGGTAACAGTGTATAGACGGGACCCTGGATCGGCCTCTGTCATTCTTACCAAGTACGAGGACAAGGTGAAGGAGTTGACCCTGGTATTGGAGGGATATGCAGACAAGTTGGTCAGTTTGGACCCCGACAACCTCCTAGTGCAGAAACACATGCCCAAATTGTAAGTTGGTTTGTTTGTATCAATTACTATGAAGTAAATTTTGACCATATCTTGACGCAAGTGGTCCTGCTATCAAATAAGTGTTCCAAAATTCAAAGAAAAAGACAGATTAGTTGTGCTCGGGTGGTTTTTCTCTATGCAAATTTAAGACTTTAAATAGATTTTTCGATAATATCGATGCAATCTAAGAAAAATTGATGCTCTGAGCTCAAAATTGAAATGATGTTTTACCTTTGCTCATTTTTCTTAAACTATGAGGTTTGAAAGTAAAGTATAATAGTAGCATTTGATTTTGCATCTAGAAATGTTTCGATAGGACCCATTAGCCTTCATCAACTCAAGTTAGAATGATTTCTGAGCCGGATTTTTCGCCGCTTAAGATTTTCCAGTTTCTCACCCCTCTCGTAAAGTTACAAAAATTGTTTATACGGAAAAATGCTTGTACGAACTATTGCAACAATCTGTTCACTTACTCACGCTTACACGTTTTATCACCGATAAGAACATCAAATGTTATTTACGTTTGCTATTAGCAAGTGTTATCAAACTGGAATATAGACTTTGTTTTCGGGTTAACAACTTTTTAACAGAACCACTTGTATCATGGTTCATAATGAATTCAAACTTCTAAACGACTCCGACAGTTAGCATGGAGGTGGAGAATACGACTGGGACGGCAGAGGTCGTGGGTTCGAATTTGACCAGGAACTGTTTCTTTTTTCAAACCAGAAATGTTCCTTTCCAAAAAATGTCGGCTTATAGATTGTCTGCTTATGTTTTGTCAGCTTAGTTGACACATCGTAGAATTTATTTTTATGCATGCAACTTTCAATGTAATTGTTTTTAGTGTTTTGAGTTACTTATGCATTTTTCAATTATTCTAGTCTTCACTTCATATATTTTGCTGTTTTTATTGGGTTTTATATTTAATCTTTTTTGACGTTTTGGAAGTTTTTTCCTGCAAAAAAATAATTTTGTTCTCAACTCTTTCTACCGATGTTCAAAAAAGCGATATCAATGGAAAGATCTCCTTGTTCCTTTTGTGCCTGCATGCTCCCCTAGTCTTTTTTACTTTAGCCCTCTGTCCAAAGCCTTCGAAAAATCTGTTTTCTCAAAATGTACCCTCCTAAATCTGAGATTATTGATATAACAGGTAGTGGGAAGCTCCCTGCATTAGCGGCTACTCACAAACTTCTTACACAAAAAGTTATCATCCTCGGAAAATTCATTTTTGACTGTTTTTTTAAACAATCCACCCATGTCTTAGATTTTGGGTGCAATCTATAAAATGGGTTGTGGGAAGCTCCTTTGCAAATGCGACTACGCCCAAATTTTTTTGACAACACAACTTATGGCCCTCGGAAAAGTCATTTTTTTAATCGTTTTTAGTACTTGATTTTTTTCAAGAACTGCCCTTCCAATTCTGAGTTTTTGGATGCAGTCGAAATTACAGGGTGCTAGAATCTTTTTTCATAATTGGCCATGCCCAATTTCTTTGTTGTAAAAAGCTAAGATTCTCGAAAAAAAAAATCATTTTTTGTTTTTTTTTATACCTTTTTTTTAAAAATTAATTGACTTTTCTTAAGAACTATTCTCATAAATCTGTGTTTCTAGGTTCAATCAAAATTACAAGCAATGTGAATCTTTTCTGCGTAAACAGCTACGCTCAGAAGTGTTTACAAAAAAGGTATTGATTCTCGGAAAAGTCACATTTTTTTGTCTTCGTGGAGTCAGATTTGTGGTCCTTGAAGTCAGATTTGTGACATCAAGGGTTGAATTGAATTAACAGGTTATAGAAAGCATACCTTTCTAAATAGCTGCACTAGTTTTCTTTCAGAATAAGTAATTGCTTTTAAAAAACTTTTGAAATGTTGGCTGTTTTTTGGAAACATCTGCCTTTTCACCAAAACTACTCTGCCAGTTTTCAGGTTAAGTGGTGAATATGGTTTTGGAAATATTCTCTGCTGAAGTGAACTCGGCGAAGTTTTAGCAGGAAAAGCTTACGGATATCGAAAGTGAAGTTTTTGAATCTTCTCAGTTAATTTAGTAGATAAACTATTTAATTTTTTTTGTTAAATTACCCATTTCATACCGCATCATTAAAAAGTGTCAAAGCTTTAGCTGGCCCCTAGTGTTTAGCTGGCCCCTATTATTTTTCATCGAAACATACGAAAATTTTTTGTTCACCTAGTTTTTTTTCGACTTTTTTTATGTTCGTTTTGTATCGCAAGTGGTGCGAAGCTCGCTTCGCCTCTGTGTTCGAAAACAATTTGTTTTTCAGAAAAAAAACATCATAGGGGCACTGGAAAAGAGACACATATTGATGCTTTGAGCTCAAAATCAAAAATTCATATTATTTCGGACCCTTTTTGTAGAGCTATCGGGGGTTTGAAAATTGCTAATTCAATGTAATTAATGCGTGTTTTTGTTCCGACCGTTTGAAAAATGGCGAGGAACTTTGTGTTCAGGTCTGTTTTAGTTTTTTGTTCCACGCAAAATCAGCTAAACAAAAAAAATCATCGGAGAGATTTGAGTCATTTATCATATTAAAGCCCTTACAGCCGTGATTGGAAAGACATTTAGTTTTTTTGAAAATCTTTCTTGTCGAGAAAAATTGGTTTGAAAATATGGTTTTTCGTCTAAATTCGAGCGACTATAGCGAGCGAGCAGGTTTACAATGCCTTATTTAATTGCATTATAAGCTCACATTATCCTGTTTTAAAACGTAGAAACTTAGGTTTACTCAAGTAACGTTGATTTTTTTTGAGTATTTTCGCGGCATTTTGGTATAAAAAATTCAAAAAAACTCGTTTTCCTAATCAGTTTTCTAAAATAATTGTTTTTCAATTGGCTAATTTTACTATGGCTGTCGAATATGCCTAATCTCTAGTTTTTCCTTCAGCGCATTTCATCATACCACGCCGAAAAAAAACGATTCCAATTTGAAAAAAAATTTCTGTTATTTTTAAGACAATGGTCGGAAAATTATATTCCACTTGTTAAGTAACCGGCTATCCTTGTAAACAGTTTACTGTTAGAGTGTGCGGCGAAATAAATCATTCCAAATTGAATTATTGCCCTGATTGAGGCAATTTACTTGTTCCAAATAATTTGTTACTAGATGAGGTGTACATGACTTTGTCCTTGACATTGCGTGTGGGGGAAGATTTTACAGCAAAATGAAGTAATTTTGAAAAGGTCCATTTTTCAACTTGCATCGTTTAAAATAACTGCCGCAGTCGACAGATTCAGGGTTTCGCCTTGATACGAGCGGTCTTCTTTTAATCTTGAAATACTAAGAGATAAGAGTGGAGAATGTCAGACTTTGCTTTCACGAAATGTTCCTTAATTTATTTCTCTGCCTTGAACGAAATCATATTTCTCATCGGTTGTTTTGACCTTGAGCAGCCTGTAATGACCCATAGCTTCTTCTCTTTGCTCCAAACCAGCTGTCATCAATTTGCCCTTATTTTGATCTAATTTACATGAATTCAGAAGCCAGGCCCATTTGCCCTAATCTAAATGCAAATGAGGGATGGGTAGAGGAAGAAAAAATCGATAGCTGAGCACTTTCAGATCAAGGAATCAAATTGTTGGTAGCTTTTTTAGTGTTGGCTTTTGAGAGGTATTAATCCTATTCCCCGCAAATTCCATCTTGTGTTCCCGTACCGTACTAAATACGTTTAATTGCTTAAGGAATCGAAATTCCATTTTGTTTTTATGTCCTTTGAAGCTGTCAAATTCATCCATCGTTCTCAGTTTAATTATTTTTAAAAATGACATTTATTGCGTCATTTTGACTTTTGACGTTGGTTTGCAGACCTATCTGCAGATCTATGCTATAAATCACATCTTTTCGACTTTAAACTAGATGATGTCGTCTGCTTACATGTGTGATTTGGCTGGTTATTTATTATCTGAACCTGACTGGTAATAATGAAACGGTTTAGGAGGAAAAGAGCGAATTCCCTGTCTCACCCGGCCTTGGTAGACCCGGCTTCTGGGGGTCACCGAGTGGACTCGAGATCGCCCATGTACCCTGGGGCTCTATTCGGAACAACCGGCAATGATAGATCCAGACATGGTCTTCATCAAGGTACCTGAATTAATTAATTGGACTAATTTTTCGTCCAACTACCTGTTTTATCTGATAAAATTAAAGAAGGTTTTGAATTATGCAACCAAAAATTAGTTGGATTTGGGCTAAAGGCAGCCGAGAAAAAGGAAGAAACATAGGATATCTAAAAGGAAAACAGAATTGATTTAGGTTCTTTTTCAACGGTTTTTCGACTCGGTTTATTATTATTTTACGCGCGCTGCGCGGATGTATTCAAAATTAATGGTTGCATAATAGGCTTTTTAACTTTTTTGCTCATTGTTAAATAAAAAATTAGACGGCAATACAGGGCAAAAAGATTATGGTTGCTCAAATTCACCGGATTTTAAAATTTGATTCCCCTCTCTGCATAATTTGGTTTCCTTTTTGTAGTGTTTGAGGAGGAATTTGCTCTTCCTGCCTTCTCGCTTTTAGCGTACTCTGATTTAGACTTCGCTCATTCAATTTATAATGAACTGCAAATACTTTTTCTCTTTTCACCAATGTCCCTAACTTTGTGCAGCTTCAATTCATCTCCGTTATTTTGCAACTTAGCCAAATGGTTTCACTCTAAAGAAAAAAAACATCCGTTTCCTGGTTTTAGTTTCACTTCAGAGCATTTTTCAAGCATTTCATTAAAATTTAAATGGATATGGTATAAGCATGTGTGTAATTCAGACAAGCTTTCAAATCAAAATTAGATTAAATACTTTTGGCTCCTTTTAATTTCATATTCCCTCTTTTTTTTCACTCAAACCAAGTTCAGTTTGATTTTCGTAGTAACAAAGAAATATTCAATGAAAAGAGCAAAATTCGCATCTGAAATGTCGGATAAAAGAGGTTAAATTTCATCATTTTGCTAATTTTGATCACTGATTGATTGTTTGTTTATTTATGCTTCGCTTATTTGGCTCAATAAATGCTTACTACTGCTGTTTATTTCAGACGACACGAGAAGCACGGGATCGCATGATCAACACGGAAACTTAGGTTAGTCTCTTTGGCCGACTTTTGTCTATTTCACCTCCCCCTCAACCCCTTCCCCCCCCCCCCCATTTTGATTGTCAATTCTAGAAAACATATCAACTCACTGCGACATCCCAATATTTATATTCAGCCGCACTTTGAAGGCAAACCGCTGTAAAAACGGCAAATATCCAATGCCACGAACTGCAAAAATATCCAACTTTTTTATTGTGCTTGAAATCAAGCATATCGAGTCTCTAAGTTATCTGAGAATGGGATAATGGCTCTTTTCCAGTTCCCCCCTTTCAAAATACCGAGTTTTATGTTTGTTTTACGTGTTATTACGGCTAAATGTGTAATGTTACGCTGTAAAGTATGAAGAACAAATCTGTTCACAGTTGTCGATTTGTTCACCACGCCAAATTTCATTGCATTACAACAACGTTAAATAAGCTTTTCAATATTGAATTTGAAAGGGGGGGGGAACTGGAAAAGAGCCCGGATAATTTATGCTAGGGCCAATAGAGCGATAAACTGAACGATTGAAGTCAAAAGAATCCCCCCCCCCCCCCCACAGGAAATCGACCTTTCACGGTACAAAGAAAATTCTGAACGATCAGAAAGTTTTTCTTCGCAGTCTTCGGCGTCAATAAATACAGATTTAAAGGAAGTGTGCTTAGCGTTGTATCAATACCTTGCAAAAAGTGTCCAAAATTGAAAAAATTGCGGATTTTTCAGGAGTTTGATTTGTCTGTGGCACAGAAGATATTAGTAAAATGATGTCTATAAAATTATGAGAAAAATGATTCTTATGGACAATGATTAAGGTCTTCATGTTTGAATGTTTGGCTCTTTTCCTGTTTACCACCCCCCCCCCCGTTGTTCACGTTCATACGTTTTAACACAGTTCTTAACATGAAAAGTCCTTTTAAATAGACTTTCATATATTGAATTTCAGAAAATATCAAAGGGGTGGGGGGACTGGAAAAGAGCCGAATGTTTGTGTGTACTTATGCTATGGGGGCGTACGTGACATGAGCACAAGTAATGATAATGTTTTGACTAATCCACGCGGCCTTCTTCTAACTAAAGAGCAAGTGTGAGTAGAGGTTGTTGATGATTTCAGACCACGTGAACAAACAGATGAATGCGAGTCGTGAAGACATGGAGCACCCGACGGAGGGCAACTATGCCTCGGACTACGACATCAAACTGCTGCAGGAAGAGATGCAGAACAACGCCACGCAGCTCAGACAGAAGTGGCTACAGGTTCGAAATAGAGCGATACAAATATGTGATACCATAGTTGTGATACTTCAGCTAGACGAGGAAAAGGAAAACGAAACAATTTTCTTACACTGACAATTAATTTACTAGGGAATGTATAGAATATGAACTGCCCAGATCATTGTGTGAACTGCTTTTTATTTCGAAATTAAGACCTAGAAGCGTTTATGTGTTTTCTTGCCCTCAAGCAACGAGTATCCAGAAAACGTAACTTAAATGCAAACGAAGTTAGTATCAGCAAATTTAAAAATTCCAATGTGCTGAAAATTTTTCTCGAAGAAAAAGATTTGTTACCAAATATACGGGCGACCCGTTCTTAAGAGTCATGGACGTAGTGAATACTCTTTTATAAGTCTTGGTAATTTTTTTTCAGAAAAAGTCTTAATTTGCTTTATTTTCAAGAAAAATAATGAACTGAACTTGAAAAGAAACCGCGAAAAAAAATCATAAATGAGCGTGAACAACTTACGCTCAGTTATTATTTTTTCGCGGTTTCTTTTCAGTTTCAGTTCATTTTCTTTCTTGAAAAAAAGCAAGCTTAACTATTGAACAGCAAAAGTGTTAAGGTAACGAATCAACGTATAGTTTTAAGTCGACGAATAGACTTATAAACATGATCGATTTATAGTTTCGAAATTGGATCTTAATTTTCAGATTACCAAGCGGAGTAAAATCTATTGATCCAGTTTTCTCAAATTGGCTTACTTTTATTAAAAAATTGTCAGTAAAAATTATTTAGTAAGAGTTTTAAGGCCAGATAAAACTTCAACTTAAATTCGAAAGTTGAAATTTTTTCAAAAAACAGTCAGTATTTTTCTATTTCCTTGCGTTCGTGAATTGTTTCCAACTGTCTGTGGGCTATGTTCTAATGTGGTCGGCTGTTGGATGATTGTGGTGTTGTGTTGTGTTAGGACCTGGAGAGCTTCAAGAGTGACTATGTGAGGCGAGTGCAGGACTTGCAGGAGATGTTCAGCCAGAGGAGTGGAGACGTGGAGGCCAACATCAACACTGTCCTCAGCCAGAAGTTCTCGGTAGGCTTCTACACTGGCTGTCCACCCTTTAACACACTTATTTTAATGAATTATTCAATGTAATTATGAATGGATGTCGTTGAAGCGACACTCGACTAGAAAGTGCAAAAGTTGTGTCTTGGCGTACAGGGTTTACGGTACAAAAACCGATCAAAGTATTGAATGCATCGCGGAATTCGTTTTTAACTTAAAATTGAGCACAGACCAAAGTGTTTACTAATGAGCCGAGTGAAATATGTCTTTAGATCTTGGTCCTAGTCAGCATGGCTAATAATTTCAACGAAACTTGATATATTATGAATTTTGAAATTTTTTTGATACAGTGTTTTTGAATTAATTTCGTCTGATTTTTTTTCTCATTCGGTGCTGTAGGAACTGGACTACGACCTGCGAGAGAGAAATGAGATGGTGGAACAGCAGATAGCAGCCCTCTCGGAGGACATTCGCACCATAGACCAGAGGAGTGCACACGGCATCATCGAAATAGAACAGGCATACAACGACAGACTCACTGCCGTCGAGGCCAGGGTCAGTTCCGTTCACTCTTCTCTTGTTGTTCCGACTTTCGATACGAAAGTAACGGAATATTTGTGCTCGGGGTGGGTTTTTTTTTTTCTTCAGACAAATTTCGACTTTTTAACTAGCCATTTTTGACGGAATTTTTTTATATCATTCGAAAGTTATTGTTGTCTTGAGCTCAAATTTGAAAAGATATTTCACCTGTGATCATTTTTCGTAAAGTTATGAGGGTTTAAAGATTGCCATTTTGGCCAATTTGGGACAATTAACGCGCGATAAATTTCGCGCTATTAACGCGTAAGCGATATTTAATCCGTCTTAGAAATCGTTCCAAATTGGTTCAAGGAAGCTTATATGCCATAATTGATTTGTTAATAGGCGCAAAATCTATCAATTTGTACTTAATATGACGTGTGGGGGGATGTTTTTACATAAAATCTCAATTCTTTTCAAAAAATTTTTTAAATTTTTTTTATTACTTTGAAATGTTTCATCTTATTAATGCTCCATAGACCTTAAAAGGCAGTCGGAACTTTCAGGGCTTCGCCCTGATACGAGCAGTCTTGTTTTATTTGCCCTCAATTATATTACTCTGTAAAATTATAGTAAATGATTCCTTTTTTCTCTATTAAGAGTCTATGAACGTAGTTCATACTCTTATATAGTTCGCGATTATTTTTTTTTCAGGAAAAGTCTTAAAATTTGTTCAGGCTCAAAATTACTTTTTGCTCCTATTGATCCAGTTTTTTTTCAAATCGGGTCGTTGTATCCAAAAAGTTTCAATCATAAATTTTTCTAGAAATAAGAGTTTTAAGGCCATCTATTTTTTTCTTGGAGTTTTAAAAATTGAGATTTTTTCATAAAACAAGTCAGTATTTTTTTCTGTTTATTTTGTTTTCATTGACTTTGGTAGAGTTTATATGAATTTTTGTTATAACTAAGATTTTGTTCATCTTCATTATCATTCAGTTGTTGTGTTCTCGGATCCAACATGATTAAATTGTTCTCAGTAGTTATAATTTCTTGTGATTCTGTCAATTTGGCCATTTGCTAATTACACCTCAAGTTCTTTTGCTGCAGCTGGTGGACATAGAAAAGAGTCACTACAGTGGCGGGGGAAGCAGAGGCGGCAACTTCATCGAGGACTTGAAGGACGCCGACGTGGTCACTCTGGCCAACCGCATCCTGCAGAGTCTCCTCGTCTTCCTCATCTCGTTCGTGTTCGTGTTCGGAAACATCCTCAAAATACTATCCGACTCCATATCCACGCCGTAAGTTGTTCTTATTCATTGATTTCCTCCTTCTTCACGATCTATGGATTTCAAGTTGAAAAATTGCAATTTGTAAGTGAATGATTTATTTGAAATTCCACTGTAGCGCTCACTTTGATTAATTTTCAAGTTACTTTCCTGCTAAAACGTAAGCAAGCTATGCTCTCCATTAAGCAAAAAAGAGCGAAATGAAGAATTAAGTATTGATCCAGTTTTCTCAGGTTTAAGGCCATATATTCAAAAATATTCAGTCGTTTTTATTTTTCTTGCCGTCTGGTGGCTATGTTATTGCCTTATAATGGAGTCAAGTTGCGTTTGTTTCAGACAAAGAGCAGCAATGTTTTTGACGTCCTTGACTCTGTTAATTGTCGCTTATGTCATGAGAGAATCAACGATACAATGGTTAAGTTCTCTCTTAACAAGAACGTGATATTAGGCCAAATCACGGCATCCAACCAATCAGATTACTCCAGGTGTCAGTTTCAAATAATTTTTGACCTCTGACCTCCTGCGGAAAGGTTAAATGACGTGTAAGGGTATTCGCAATCTTCATCCAATTTGGTGCTATCGCTGACCCCTGTGCATGTGTTTTGTTTCTCTGAACCCCTGACAGAAACGACGCTGGAATGAATCACGAACTCTCCGATAAACTCTTAGCGTGCTTCGGTGCTACAAGTTGAAGCAGAGCTTATTTTCTCTTTGCCCAAAATGAAAATATTTAAACTTGCTGAAACTTTGTTTTTACATAATTTTTCCAGTGTCCATCTCCGAAAATTTGAATGCGAAAAAAAAATGGGTTGTTTCTCAATTGCAAACAAAATCTTAGAGCGTAGATAAAATCTGATTTTGCAAACAAAAACAGAGAATTGTGAACACAAATCAGAATGTAGATAAGTTTAAGTTGGAGAAATAAATTTGATTCGATTTTTGTATTTTTCTGTCAGCTTAGCTTTAAAAATTCAAGTTTTTAATGTATGTTCTCAGCTATACCCTCGTCACTTCATATGAGCACTGCAAATTTCAAGTAGTAATTTTTCATAGAAAGATGAAACAGATTGAATGCTTTTGATTTGCATCTGATTTGAGCCTTTTTGTACAATTTATTTCAGCTAGATGTCTTTTCGAACATGTTTTTACTAAGAAAATGTTGAAATATTAAGTGTTCCCACTTTCCAGCCTAGTAAAGGAAATTTGTGCTTGCTGCAGGTTTTCTCGGCAAAATTTGAAAAACGAGAAACAAGTTACTGACAGAGATTTGCATACAGCATGAAATAGTACAAATTTAACAAAACTGGCGAAGATCAGTTTTGAATGCCCTATATCTCATTTAGTTTCTGAAGAAAGTGATAACATTTTTAAAAAAATGGGGTTCTTTTCTGTTAAACTGCCCAAAATTCATTGTTTTGCTGTTTTAAAAAAAATGGCACATAATGCTTGATTCTGATTGGATGAATTTAACCCATGCAAAGGAAATTTGAAGCTTAATTGCAAAACATATTAGCGCATTCAGCGTTTTGGTAATTTTGGGCCGCATAACATAAGACTCAAAGTTGGTATATAATTTTAAAAAAAAATTGCTGGTGTGCAATTTGAAAAACAAAAATTTAATTTTAAGTCGATGAATGTAGTTCAGACTTTTCTATAGGTCGCCAGATTTTTTTTGTTTTTCTTTACAAGACGGTCTTTCATTTTGTTGAGGTTCAAGTTTACTTTTTCGTGGTTTAACGCTTGATTTATTTTCAAGTCCAGTTCATTTTTTGGAAAAGGAAGATAAACTCGACTATCGAACAGCGAAATTTTAGAGGTCACGAAAATTGTGATTAACTAATAATTTCAAAAATGAAAGTCAATTATTAGATTTTGAAGCGAAATAACCATTAACCTATTGATCCAGTTTTCTCAAATTGGGTTAATTTTATCAAAAAACAAAAATGTCAGTCATGAATTATGAGTGAGAATTTCAATGAGCTTTGAATTATACTTTCAAACAACCCTAGTATTGTTTTTGTTTTCTTAAGTTCATTGAACTGTCAGTTGGCTAATTTGTATTTTTTATGTCAATATTTTGATCACAAAGCTTGCTTTATTCAAGCAATTCAATTATCTGTAATTGGCGATCCTTAAAACCTCATTGAAATATCTTTCTATTCATAGGTTCAAGTACCAGTTTCTTTCACCATAAAAATTTTCAGTAACTGCTAGTTACGCAAGCGAAGTGTAGTGTATTGTTAAGAAGATTTTTTTCCGAACCGAAGTCGCAAATAAAAGTGCCCATTTGTTGGCACGTTTGATATATTTCAATTTAATCTTATTTAAGCACCAGCGATTCAATGGCATATGTTGCTGCTTTATTTTTGGCTAGTGTTAGGTCAAGTTTGAAAAAGAACTTGTATTCTTAAAACGCATGAGATTTGTTTTTCGTTTTTTTTTGTCGCAGAAATTTAAGTTTTTTTTTCAAAAACTACTGTACTGATTTTCAAAAAAAAACCGGTGCAAATAGAAAAACCGGCTGCTCCTTTTTTTCTGCATATTTTGCTAATCTCGTTTCATTTTACTTTACGTTTTACCTAAAATAGGTAGAAAAAAGTTAAGGCCTCAAACAAGCCCATTTTTAAAATAGGTAGAAAAAAGTTAAGGCCTCAAACAAGCCCATTAAAATATGAAACTTTTTTGAGCTTTCTGGAATGGAAAATTACCCTGTCAAATCTGAGATAAAGCTTTTAAACGATAAAAAGTCAGCAATGCAAGTTTCACTTGCGCATGCGGCTATGCAAAGCGTTTTGAAAAAAATTATATCGCCTTAGAAAATGCTCAAGTTTTGCCCGTTCTTTGGAAAATTATATTTTTTTTTCGATAAACAAACCTGCTGATTCTGAGGTTGGTAGATTATTAAAATCAACATAGTACTTAGATATTCACTGCATAATCTGTTTACTCGTTTTTTGTAGAAAAGCTGATATGGACTTCGGAAAAATTCTTTTTAAGATTTTTAATTTTTTTAAAATGTCTCTTTTCTTGAAAACGACTTGCTAAATCTGATATTTAGAGTTCAATCTAAAAAATCAGAGTTCAGAAAGCAGAGGCTGTTCCCATGCTTTAGTAGTGAGTTAGGAAAAGTCAAATTTTCGATTTTTTGATCAATTGTTGGATAATTTTCAATTTGTTTTCTGGAAAACTAAACAGCCAAATCTGAGATAAAGACTTCAATTGAAATAGCGAGTAGTAGCTTCCTCCTTTGGATAAGCGAATAATCCCCTACTTAAGCAGAGAATTATGCATTTACGTATCAGTACAATATTTGATTAAAAATAAAACATGTAGTTCCAGCATTAGCTGGATCACTTGTTTACTTCCCAGTGCCCGTGGCGCAGAAGTGAGGACATTAGACTCCTAGTCAGCAGGTCAGATATTCAAATCCGGAACATCCAAACAGTTTTATTTCTTTTTATCTATTTTCTTCTGCATGATATTGAAAATTTGATAGAAACTGTAGCTGCTTTATTGGTGGCTAGTATTAGTAAAATTACAAGCGGTCGTGCAGCAGATATAGGAACGTGGTAGTCCTAATCTCAACAAAAAATTTTTCAAAGTGATTATTTAATCTTCAATTTGCTTTGTTTGCCATTTCACTGTTTTGCCTGTTTAATGCTATTTTTTGCTTTTTACTCGGTTGTGTTTGCAAAGTGCAGCTTCGTCTCTGTGTTAACAGTATGTTTGAAATGAAAACCACGCCGGGCACAAATATTCTATCCTTTTCTTTGTAAAAGGAAACTAAAATTGTTTCCACTCGCCCCGTTTCCGAATGTTTCGGTGAATATTGAGTTTTCAAGTTTGCAAAAGCTTAAGTTTGGAGTAAAAGACACTCTCTCTATTGCCATATTTTTATATAACTATCGCACGGATACTGATATTAGTCTGCCCCTAATAAATTTCAAACTGAATGCAGGCAAAATAGATATCCAAATAAAACATTTTTCTAAGTATTGGAAATGATACCTACACCTGCTCGGGAATGATTGGCGTTGGGCAGAGTAGATCGGATCGAGTCGGAATGAAAAAGTGATCTAATCGTAACTTCATTAATCGTAAATTTAGCGGTAAATATTAGCTATAAACGATAATATGTCTTGCGGAGTTCTTGGAAACATGAGAACAAAATTGAATACCGTTTCATACAGAAATAAGTTACATTCCAAACTAAGGTAATTTTTTCTGCATACAAAATAATCTTTAGCGCGGGTTCGAGGCCCCTTCGGCCCAAAATGTTTTACTGTTTGAGTATAATATTAAGTTCATAAGATGTAAAACCAATCAAAATCGACCTTTTCTGACCTCAAAAAGACAGATTTTTAGCTAAAATTTTTTGTGTGACAGCAAACACAAAAAATTTTAGCTAAAAATCTGTCTTTTTGAGGTCAGAAAAGGTCGATTTTGATTGGTTTTACATCTTATGAACTTAATATTATACTCAAACAGTAAAACATTTTGGGCCTCGAACCCGCGCCAAAGATTATTTTGTATGCGCAGTTGCATTAGCGTTTCGGCCAACGCGTTTGTTTGGCTGAATTTGTTAGCTTTTTTAGCTCCAGTTTTTTTTTCAATTGCTTTTGAAGCGGAATCAATATCGGAACGATTGCGGGTTTGCCCTTGTTAAGGCTTATAACACGTGCAGGGGATATTACCCAGGAGGGTAAGTTTTTCGGCAATTTGAACAAGATCTCTGGTTTCGATTTCTTGCTCAGTGGGTGTGCCATATGAGGCGCTTGTTCAGAAATGTTTCATCTTCATGCAGTCTTTTGGCGCAATTTTTGGTGTGCGTGGTGAAAGCGCTTGCGGTTGTTATCGAAGTGGTTTACTGTTGCATTCGTTAAGCTCACATAATGCAGTCCCATTAGGATTTAATTCGACTTAAGTGCTTCAAGTTCTTTAGGGCTTAACTGCTGACGGGCATGAGAGCGCAGGTATCCAATGACTGTTCCACGGTAAAGATTATGGTCTGAGGAACCTCTTCAGTCGTTTTTAAAGATGTGAGGATCGAGTAGAACAGTCTTTTGCTTTTAGTTAAAAGCCATAAACACGAGCCACCATGGTTTGGCGCTGATGGAAATTTGTAATTCCTTTCAAAATAATCAAAATGGTTATTGTTAAGAGTCGATGAACGTAGTTCAGACTCTTCTATAGGTCGCGATGATTTTTTCTTCGTTTTGTTTTTCAATAAAAGTATTGAAAATTGATCAGACTTAAGTTTACTTTTTCGCCGTTCAATATTTGATTTGTTTTTAAGTTCAGACCATTTTTTGTTGAAAAAAAGGCAAACTTCACTATCGAACAGCAAAAAAGTAAAAGTCACGAAAACTGATTGACTTCTAATTTCAAAAATGGAAGTTGTTTATCAGTTTTCAAAGCGAATTAAAAATTTTATCTTTTGATCCAGTTTTCTCAAATTGGTTATTTTAATGAAAAAACTGCCAATCTTACATTATAATTGAGAATTCAGAGAGCGTTGAGAGATTCTATTTATTTCTTAGAAATTCAAAAAACTGAAGTGTTTTCAAAAAATGCCAGTATTTTTTCTCAAGTTCCTTGAATCTTTTCTAACATTTTGTTGGCTAAATTGTGTGTTTATGTCAATATTTTAAGAAACAAGCTTGCTTTTTATCGAGCGATTCAATGATATCTAACTGGCAATCCTCAAAAATCCATTTTAAAACAAAAACGGCCACAAGTGAAATATCCTTTAATTTTTGGCTCAAGTCCCAGTTTCTTTTATTCTAAAAAGACTTTAAACACTGCTAGGTAAAATTTTGTTTGATCTAAAAACCACACCAAGCACAATTATTCTATTAGTTTCTCTAAAAATTGAAACTGAAATTGTTTCCTTTTGCACCATGTTTTCGTGAAATTTGCAAAACTTAAATTTGGAGGAAGGGACAAGCTCTCTACTGCCACATAACTATTGCGTCGATACTAAAATTATTCTGCATTTTTTTCTGATACTGGAAGATTGAATTGATTCCAAATTGAATGCACGCAAAAAAGATATCCAAAAAAGATATCCATAATTTTTATTAGTAATGGAAATTTTATCTACATCTGCTTTGGTCTGGTTGGCGCAGGGCAG